AGTCATTTTCAGAAAATTTTTTCCTCTTAGCTAACGCATACTTAATGCTCTTAGAGATAAGACAATGAAATAAACAGGAACAATAAATTTATTTGGCCACCGTCTTTACCAAATGAATCTTTTCCAGTGACCAAAGAGGCATTTCTAATTTCTTACAGGTTATGACAATGTCTGCTTTTCCACTTGGTACCACAGCCACCAAAGTTCCCAGGCCCTTTCTTCATCCCTTCTTCTTCCACATTCCCAACTTGGCCTCCCTCCCCTACATCACAAAACTTGTAGCAAAAAGGAAAAGAAAATATCAGACAAAGAAATACTTCTTCAAATTTTCAAGCTACACAGAAAGTTAAAATCCCCTTTCCATCTCTGAAACTTAAGCATTGACACATGCCAACTCTGTTTCCCAGAAGACATGAGCAAATAAATGCCCTTCACCCCCCCTTTGAAATTCTCAATGCACGTTTCACCTAGTAAATGATGTGAGAAGACTTACAGTAGAAAAAGATAAAACAAAACATTTCCTTTGTGTAGCACAGCGCTGGCCCACAGTATTCAGCAGTACCGCGTGCAGAAGAGCTTCCTCAGAAACATGTCCAATGAGGCACACTTTGGGTTGAACACTCGCCTATGCTATCTTTACGAAGTCAGTGAAGCCTCAAAAGGTGCAAGTCAAGATGGGAGAATTCCTAAGTTTCCGAACCCCAAGCTCCAGAGTTCAGAGTTCTTCTAAGACATAAATGTTTCTGAAGTTTCTTCTGATACTGGATTTAACGCTTTAGCCTACGTCCACATGAACAAGAGATCACTAAAAGCACCAGGCCACGCTTCGCAGGCTGCTTCGGAACAGAGTGTTCTTTCCAGGCCTGATGTCCACCTCAGCACAAGGCCCAACACAAGGTCAAGCCAGAATCACACAAGAAGGGGGCAGTGCTCTGAAACAGCCTCCTCCTGACAAATGTAGGCCACAGAAAATGCCAGATACTTGCCACTCTGCTTCCTCCTATCATTCACACACACACACACACACACACACACACAAGGAAGAAAAGGACAAGAAAAGAGTTTTTCTTACTTATAGGTAAATCAGAGGTGCACAATCTGCCAAGGAACGTAGTCCCACAGCCTCCTACAGGATGCCCCCTCCTCAGTAGTGAACAGTTTCCAGAAACCTCTATATGTGCTGTGCTCGGTAAAAGGAAAATAACAGGTTTTCAAAACAACCTTTTCCAGAAAGCCAGCTGTCTTTCTCAAAAGCTATCTCCCTTAAAAAAAATCTTCACAGACATACTAGTTAACTAAGAAGAGATTTTCTATCATGTGCAAATCCCCTTTAATAAGGAGAGAATGTTTAGACAGACCAACGATGGATCTGGTGGGGTTCATTCAAATCCAAATTCCAAACCAAAGAAATAGGAGACTTGTGTGTGTTAGATTAAGCACTGAAATGTCACAGGAAGGAAGGAAGGGATGGAGGGATGCAGGGAGGGAGGGAGGCAGGCCAGAAAATAAACACCTAAGAAAGTATAAGATGTGGAAAACACATTCAAAATCAACATTGTGAAGAACAAGGCAAATTTTTTTATATCTCTGTATCTCACAAGTCATAATGTGGAGATTTTGTGCAACAAAATGGGAAGTTTCATGAGAAACAAAAAGGGGAAAACCTTTACTATCACAATGCTGATTCAGGAATTTTTCTTTCATACATTTGTACACTTACACCTTTCAAAGAGGAAAGCTTATCACTTCATTTAATTTGCAGTGAAGAAACTAAGAAAAAAAGTGAGCTGGCTAGCCTGAGGTCACTCGGCCCCTAAACTGCATAACTGGGACTAAATCCGAGTGTCCCAATCCAGAGCCTGCTCTCTCACCCTTTGCCACCGTGCCGGGGATTTGTTTCACTTCAGTAACTGCTGGCTACAGACTTTCAGTCTTGATATGAAATGGACAAATGTCACTGTCTAGTGACCTTTTTTGAAAGCAGGAATGGTCCATCACCTAACAATCTCAGCATGTTAAAAAACACACATACTTTGGGCTGTTAAGAAGATTTGGCACAGAGGTTCTGCATGTAGTGACAATGGGTTAACAGCTAAGATGAACCATTTTTGAAGAGAAAATGCATGGCATGTACATAATTTTGAGGCTATTTTATTTAATTGGCCTTTGGGAAGCGATGCACTAGGAACCCCCCTACCCCCACCCCCATGTAGATGTACACATTGTTAAACTATACTTTTGTTATGTTGTCATGCAGAATTTTCTTTTAAAAGTTATCTTCATAAATGAAATAGGCATATCAACTAAGGTTTCCATAACTGTTCTTCAAACTTTATAGGTGTATCTGCTCCAGAAAATATCATTAGCCCCTAAATACTATGATTGCTAGGAAACATTATGAGTCTACCTTTCTTTAAAAAGAAAACTTTAATTCTCTCAGATGCTATATTTATGTAGAGAAGTTCTAAAAAGGTTTAGGTGCTTAATATTCAAAACTAGTCAGTACAGAAGAAAAGCAGGTGGACTTAATAAAGAACTTAGCCTCAGCTCCTTCCCTAGATGCCCTTATAATGACGATAAACAATTTTAAAATAAAAACAAATTGTAAACCCATAAGGATAACAAGAATGAGTGACAAGAAGCACCTCTCACTTTGATACAGAAGGTGATGTCCCATGCCTCCCACCCCAACTACCCCAACATCAGCCCAGAGTTGAAAATTTCTAGATTTTTACAGAAAGGTTCAATCTGCTCTTAAATATGAGCAGACAGCTATAGTTACCTAAACACTTAAGGAAAGCTTCTAAAATAGAAGGCAAAAGAAACAGAAAAATGAATCTTAAACAAAAAAATATGCAAAGAGAAAAAATTTTGAAAATTATCATTAACACCTCTAGACAAATAAAGTAGTATATTTAAGAAAGAAAAGCATATTTTTTTTAAAAATGGACATTAAGAGATAAAAATGAGATACTAGAAGTTAATATTTATAAAAGAAGAAATAAAATACCAACATAGAGTTTGAAAGATAAAATTGAAGTTATCTTTCATATATGGAGCAAAAACAGAGATGGAAAACAATAAGAAAGACAATAGGAAAACTAAAGAACTCAAGTAGGAAGGCCAATATCCACATAAAAAAACACAGGAACAAATCACTAAATAATTCAAGAAAGTCTCTAAGAACTGAAAGACATTAATTCCAAGAGTGAACAGATCTGCTTAAATTCCCACCACACTCAATTAAAATAGATTCACACCACGATATATCCTTGTGTAACTTTAGGACATTGATCCTAAAAGCCAGAAAGAGAAAGCATCAAAAAGTAAGAATAGCATCAGACTGCTGGACCCTGGATGCTGGAGGCAAATAAAGTCTTCAGTATTCTGAGGGAAAGTGATTTCTAATCTAGAGTTTTATATCCAGCCCCATTATCAACTAGCATGAGAAAAGAATAGAGATACATACCGGTAAGGTCTAAAAAAATATCCCTTATCCACCACCTTTTCATAGAAGCTACTGAATGATGGATTCTGCCAAAAGGAATAAATGAATGAGGAAAGAGGGAGAAAAGGAGTTGAAGGAAAAGGGTATAACCACATACAAAAAGGCAAAGGAAATCCCCAAAAGGATGGAGAAGCATATCAGAAAGTCACAAGAATAATTTCTTCAAGGTAAAACTGATAGATTAGATTGCCCAATATAAATGAATCTAATAAAAGGAAATATACATCATGTGGGAGAAATCAGAGATGACTTTGTGGTAAGTATATAGAAAACAAAACAAATAAAAAAGAAAGCTAAGCAAAAGAAAGGCCAAGTGAGATTATAATCTACAAATGGTATTTTAAACTATATTGTTCAACTACCAATGTAATTCACATGGTCATCATAATGTTAACATGGAATACAGACTCTTCTAGATTTAGCAATGTAAGCACATCGTTGAGAAATATGGAAAGTGATGACCAAAGAAATGGCTAAAAGAATTTAAAATGACTGCTTCTGGAAAGCAGAAATGGGGAAGGCGTGGTGTGGGCTGGTTTTGCAACAGTTTTCATAGATATTTTTCTTTATTAAACTATCTATGTGTGTGTATGTGTATATGTATATATATATATATGAACATATATATATATTTGATTTTAAAAAACTAAATTGAAAAAAATCTAGTTAGTACAAAGACCAACATCCTAATATTTAGCAGCTCTATAAACTTCTAAATTGTTCCTATCTGACTACTGCTAATTTCAACTTCAATTTTCTTAACCAAGGTCACATGAGGTTCCCCCCTCATTGATAGTTATTATTTCCCCTATTTATGTAACAAGTCTATTTGTATTTGTTTGCTAAATGTCAAGGTTAGCATCATCGATGCTAGAACTGATTAATTCAGACTCACTTAGCAGCACCTGAATTCTGAGAATGTGTGTCTAGCTCTAGAACACAATAAAACCAAAACCCACTGCCCCCTTTCACTAACTGCAGAGAATTCAGTAAAACCGAGTATTATACCTATAAGCCTCCCTATCGGTAACCACATGAACACTATTATAAACAGGCACTACAATCGACAAACCACTTTGAGATATTCAGTAGAGTTCAGACACCCTATCTCACCAATTTTCCACTGGGTTGAGATCTTAGTAATCAACACAATAACCAATGAGGGCCCCAAATGATTCAGTATTACTGGTAAGCAAACATTTCTGACAGAAGTCTCTTAGACAATGTACAGGTCTCCACATGGTAACACAGATTATGATGGCAGCCCTCTGTTGAAAACCGATCAAATTAGAAAGAAAAATACATAATCATCAAGGCATTGCTGCAGGCAAAAGTCATAAGGAAAGCGGCCCTCATTTAAAGCAGCCCTTTGGAGAATCCACAATTTTCAAGAGTGAGTCACTATGTGCCTCTAGCCTGAAACGTATTCTCTCTCTCACTTTCCAGGACACCACATGGCAAATTACGTTCTCAGGAAAAGAAACAAACTTACCTTTCACAGGCTCGGACAGTCCACGCGGCAATTATCCATAATGAGATACTAAAAACCAAGAGTACCGTTCCTGGGCATATAGTCATTAAAGTCTTCATAACAAAACGCGTATTGAAGTTTATCTTATTAAGCGCTCCAATGCTTCTAGAGGAGGCGTCAGTAAAAAGTTTGCTATGTAAAAGCATGACTCTGGCAATCAGATAGAGTCTTAGGAACATTGGTATAGATAAAATAATATCCACGTCAGCGGTGGTTGTGGATGGGGCATAGGAGAAGGCAAGCCGGGCCGTCCATGTGAACGTGTAATTCCCAGGTATGGGATGAATAGCACACACCAGTATTTCCAAGCAGATGAAGAAAATACGCTCATAAGTCATGGCTATTCTCCAGTCATCTGCTCCATTGTCCACCATGAACAACTGAAAAAATAAAGTAGAGAATCAGCTTCAGTATGGCATGAATGGTCTACAAGTGTTAGTGCAGATTTTTTAATACGTTAACAGATGATTTTCAGCAATCTTGGAGAGCTAAAGGTTATTGCTTTTAAACACTAGCCAGGTATGCTATTTTTTTAAAACGGTATTGGTTCAGAAGGAGGACTTCATTTTAGAAAAATTAAAATTCAAAGCTTGCAACACAGGAGCTGAAATTATTTTGGATCCATGCTCCTGGACAATCACGGAAGTAATATCACTTTAAAATAAGGGGTGTGAGCCTATCAGTAATGCACCTGCCTTAGATAAAGTCAGAATGGATGTGCCTTATAACAAGTTGTCCTCTGAAAGGTTCTGGATCTAAACCCTGACGCAGTTCTAACTATATTCTTTGTGGAATCTATTTACTGCGCCTCTGCAATCAGCGATGCCCTATCATGCAGCTATGCATGAGTGTCCTTACCGGAAATCTTGTTTGTGGCTTCAAAGAGAAATGCACAGGAGGCCACAGATGAATGTGGCACAGACACTTCTCCCTGATTCCCTGCTGCTATACTGCTTCCCTTCTCTCTTTTCCTCTGCCTCCCTTGGCCTTCCCTTGGATTATTAATTTGTTTTTTATTATTCTTTCTTAATAAAGATTCCTTTTGCCTATTTCTTGCACTACAATGAAAGAAAACAAAGAGAAAAAGAAGAAAAAGGAGACAGATGATAGATATATAAATAGATACACTGGTAGACAGATACAGACAGATACATACAACATAGAGACTAAAAGAGACAGAAAGGAATGTTTCCTTTCTTCCCTGGCTTTTTGGTAAACAAGTCCACCGGGCTCACGCCGTCCATAAACAACCAGAGGCATCTGGAAATGCGTGGTGACATTTCTGACTGGCAGAATGACTCGTGGGGGCTACTGGCATTGACAGCCAGGAAGCCAGGGGTGCCTGATGGGCTGCAATTCTGGGAGCCCCACGCACAAGAAAGACCAGTCTTCCCAGAACGCTTATAGCTCTTCCCCGCTGAGGAAGATGACATATTCTTTGCCTTTGGTAAGTAGCCTGTTTAACAAGAGAGCATGATATATGAAGGCAACCCAAATGGGAACGATACATCCTCACGTAAGTGAATCACAGAGGAGGCTGGCAGAGCAGGTTTGCACTATGGCTGGATTCTACGTACTCTGCTCTTTCAGAGTTCAGAGAGAAATTTTCCCACCATGTGAATGGGTACAAATTCCATTCCAGCTTAATTATTCTGCAGTTCATAGCTACTTGGCGTGCTGTTATTCAAACACTGCCATTCACGTTACTTTGCAAGGATAGGAATCTGAGGACAAAGATCACTTCTTTCTGCAGCAGAATCTCTCATCAACATATCAAAATGTTACCAAATTAAGTTATGGCAACACACTCGTGTTAGGTACGCCCTTATCATAACTTTTCATCCAGGGACCTTATGGTGTTTGACAAATGCTAATACACAATAAAAATTATGTTTTGCCAGGTTTTGATAAAGAAATAGATGATAAATAAAGCAGGTCACATTGGCTATAGAAATATTCTTGTTGGTCTCACCACTTTCACTATTACATTGGCATAAAGGAACTCAATAATAAAGATGTACAAAAGATCATATAGGAATAATGGTAGAGGGCTTCAAGACTTTATACCAGTGAGAGTTTACTGGGTGCCTCTAAAGGAATGTGACCCCAAAGTCCTAAGATGTTTACATCCAAAAGAATGTGTCCCTCAAACTATATTTTGAGATACTGTGTTCAGCAGATATGCTGTCACTGCCCTCCCTAGAAACAGCTACCAGGGCGTCTTACAAGTCACATAAGAAAAACAGTACCGTTATTTAAATCCACATTTCTATTTCTACTGAAAATGGTCATACCCAGTTGGATTGTTCACTTTTTTCACCAAACCTGGCACTGAATGACTTGGCAAAAGATCAAGGGCTAAGAGCCATCAAGACCCGGGTAGCCAAAAGCTGTCCCTGAGACCAAGAGCTGCTCCTAGACAGGCCTCCCCACACCACTCTGGGCAACAGCAGCTGCCACGCGGACTCAGGACTTTCCATGGAACTGCGGAAGGAATGCCAGTGAGAGGGCTAAGTGCCATATGTTGCTTACGGAAAGTCACAGAGTCTCCTATCTTCCCGGGGCTGGCCCTCCCTCCGTCACACAGCGGGCCTTGATTCCTCTGACCTCACTCTACTCTTTATCTTGACCTCGCTTCATCACCTCATCTGCTCACTCCCCTAACTAGACTGGTTCTCTCCTTCCATTCCCATCACTCAGCCAAGAGCCCACTGGGGTCAGCAGCCACCTCCTTTCCCTTCTGCTGGGCCTTCCCAGGTAACCTCTGACCTAGGCCTGGAAGTCCAGCTGCTGCAGGTGGCCTGGGGCCACCCTCACACATGCCTTCCAGCTCAGCTGAACCCTCAGCATTGTGAACGACGGCTCCCCCCCCCCGTCCCCTGGCATCTGCTCTGACCAATCATCTTCCTTCTCAAGGGCCACCTTTCCCCCAGCATCACAAACACCCCCTGTTTTAAACTTCAGCCACAGACTGCCCTACATCTCACCATTTTCTCCTTGTTTCCCTTGTCTTTTGCTCCACCCGTCTACAACAGTGTTAAAACCAAAACCAGTTCTCCAGCATTGAAAGCCTATTTCCTGGGCTTCCTCCCTCTCAGGAGAGTAGACAGCAAGTTCAAATCCCTGCTATTCACTAAAAACACAGGAACACAAATAAACAGACCCCCCATGGGCTCTGGATCTGTCCCAGGTGGTGGTCATTTTCTCAACTACCTTTTATTCCCCCAACATGCCCATGTGGCTTTGTCCCCATCACCTCTCCAAAGCTACTCTTGTGAAGGTCAGCAAAGATACCTGAATTACTAAATCTGGTCCTTAGACTTTAATTTTCATGTTACTTGATCTGATATTAATCACTGCTCCTTCCTAAAAAAGATCTTTTCTCTTGGTTTCTGTGACATATTGCTTTTCTCATCTGCAGCCACGATGAAGGATCCATCTCAACTTCCTTTGCAAACCACCTCCCTCCTCCGCAGTCAAGAGGCCCTGCTGCACTGAGGTCCATCTCCAACCTTCTCTGACGGCTCTTTCCTGAGCGATCTCCTCATGCCTTCTGTCTCCACTAGCAAATTCCTCCCCTCCATCCTCATTTAAAATAGTGAACAAATTTTAAATTACACAATCTATATTATATAATCCCTCTACTGTCCAGATTAAAACCAGTCCAACACCCATTCTGCAATCTGGTTTTGTGTCTTTTTCAACCTATTACCCCCCTTTATAATTCCCTCTGGTTGAAGCTCCTGGAACTCATTACCCCAATCATGCCTCTAAGCCTTTGGACATTCTAGAAAGTCTTTCTGTCTAGGAAATTCTTATTCCTTTAAGAAACTCTGCAATTACTTCCTTTAGGATACTGTCCATGCCCCTGCCAAATCCGGAAACTTCCTCCTTTGTTCCACCATTATCCATGCATGTGCCTCTTATTGACGCCGCCCCAGAGGACGACAACGGTTTCTTTGTAAGACTATCACCTCTACTTGTCTGTGAGGCTCCTTGAGGACAGCAACCACATGCAGAGAATAAGAAGCACTTCTTAAATGAACTGCCTTGTTATTTCTCATTAAATATTGACTATCCTAATCAATGGATAGGCCCTAATGTTAATTAAATATGCTCATAGAAGATGAGAATACTATAGCACAATGCAAGTGAAATAAATCTGTCATTTTTCTAATTTGTAGAGAACACATCCTGCTAAATGCTAAGTAACTGCAGCAGCATAATTTTGCAATTCCATAGGAAGTCAAGATCGTGTTCTTCTTCAGTAACATTCCCAGAAAAATTTTCTATCACATAGAAAATGAAAACATTCTAAACATCAGATATTCAACAACTGGTTCTATGTCAAGTACTAAAATCCAACTGCAGAAATATCCCCATTACATTCCATGTGATTGATATAATGCATACAATCTGCCTTAAGTTCACTTGTGGGGGAATTTGCAGCATCAGAATTAAAACATCCTCATTAAAACATCCCTATATTCATCTTTCATTTGAAGGTTGATAAGAGAAGAAAGATTATAGGGCAAAAGCATGGCAGTTCAGTCTACTTTAATCCTAGAGCTACGGCTTGTGGTCTTCACCAGAGGTCTAAAGTAATGGGCAGGCGTAACACGGAATACGCCCCACAATATATCCTATCACAAACTTGAACTTTCCAGTGCAGCTGTTTTACATTTGCTCAGATACCCCAAATATAATATACTTCAAGCTCACTGTCCAAGATGAATCAGCAAGAGAGTCATCAGCAGGACGGACAAAGGTCTGCAGTCTAGTGGGAGAGGCATGATCAGGTCAGCTGCTGGCAAGGGGCCCTCTGCTCAGCCCAGCTGCCTTCCACATGTGCTTCTCCCCCTCAGTGAGGCTGCAAGCTCCGTGGTCTGATCCGGGACAGTGTCTTACACATCCTGGGCTTTTTTTCTGGTAAAGAACTGCGGGCAGTGCTCAGCACAAAAATGGGGCTCAGAAAATACGTACTGAATAAAATAATTTTAGTCATGTATTAGTTAAGAAGTATACGTAGAATAGCCAAGAAAACTCTGAAAAAAAGAAGACTAACAGGAAGCAGCAGCCGCAATAGATTATCCAGCAAATTAATAATTAAAACCATGCAGCACCAGCACACAAAGTGAACATAGCAAAAGTCCAAGACAGATCCAAGACACTGGGAGGTTCACAGTATCATAAAGGCGGACAATCACATCGGTGGAGAAAATACAGTCTATTGAAAAATGATTTGGGGACAACTAAATAGCCATCTGGAGAAATACACAGTTGAGCCGATGGCTTACACTAAATGTATCAAGACGAATGCCAGGCAGATGACAGGTTTACATAAAATGAAACTATTAACATATGAGAAGTCAGGCAAGAA